TGCCAAGACTGATGATTGTTTTGTTTTGGGTGACACTAGAGGCGTCAACGCTGAGAAAGCACTCGCTGGAGGAGGTGAAGATAACCAAAAACAGCCTATCATACATCGGCCAATCACCAGAGCATTTGCCAAAGCAGCTGCCAGAAACAAAGACAAGTCACCAAGCCCAAGTTGAGTATGACACAACAAATACATCCCATAAAAACCAGTTAGCTTACTAGCATCCACAATAATATTTGCATGCTCAAACACACAGAATCAAACAAAGTGCAGTACAAAAAGTTTTGAATTAAGAAAGAAAAGAAATTCAGGCTATACTGTAGCATGGATCCAAGAAACAACTCCTAAACTAAAAGAATCAGAGCTTAAAATAACTACGCCAACAGTGACTCTTAGTACTACAACACAACCAACATCCACTAGGTCAAATATGATCTTAACCACTGTAGAATCAACAACCCCATCAGCAGAATAAAATATGTTAACCTCGCCTAAACCAACTACCCCAGTTGAGATTTTAAATATTACAGAGTCAGTTACTACACCTTCAAAACTTAGCAGCAACACCTACAGATACTGCTGAAACCACAGTCAGGACCACAACACCTAACCAAATAACAAGTGAAACGCCAACTACAAAAATTGAAACTACCAAATCAACTACCAAATTTGTAACCACAAAAAGTATAACTTCTAAACTAACTTCTAGGCCCACTATTACAACATCAACACAGATTGATAAAGTACTGGAAGAAAATATTGACACTTTACCAACTGAAAGTAATGACAAATACGCATCTCCTGATCTCCTTCAGGGAGGATTGAATAGATTATTGTAACCAAGTATCAACACATGGTAAAACCCATATTCAAACCATTTAGGACTAAAGCCCAAATAAATCAAGGAAGAATCTCCCCCAGAGCAGGGGAGGACAGGACCAGTAAGAACTGATGAACTTTGGGAGATAGCTAATCAAAATAGTTGGTACCTATGGGTACTATATACATCTAAGGAAATTACGTCTAAAGAATGTATACTGTGTACTAAACCACCTGGAACACTGCCAATAGTAATCCCAGAAAAAACATAACTCTGAAGAATGTGCAAAGGTACAGCAGATAAAGTGTAAAGAACATAAAACAAACGATCAAAAAGAGGTGCCATTATTTTTCAAACTTCCCATGTGTGGTATTAAATGTAGACTCCTTTACGGAGCACTGAAAAATCACAATTACCTACTTTGTAGATAAGTACTGTGGATATAAACTTCAAGAACAAAGTGCTGAATTTGCAGTTGAAACAGTCCAAAATGGACCACCAACAGGATACAAAATAGGCTATGATGCTGAATATGAATGTTTTACAAGTGGAGCTTTCACAGATCAAGATGGCATTGATGTTGGGAACACAACTGTTATATGTAATGTAACATGGGTATTGTCTTGGTTCCCACATGCAAATATGACCCCAGTGTTTGTTACAACACCCGTGTGGTATGAAAATCCTGAACCTTTGTCAGACGTGTGAAAACATAACCATGACTATTCCGACTCATTACCTTTTCAGTGATCAGACCCATCCTATAGCAGATAGCTATTGGATGTGCAGAGATGATGTTTTGATGAATGTATTACCACCAAGGTGGATTGGTTCATGTGCTCTAGTAAAAATGAAATTTTCTGTGACAATGTTGTACAATGGAGTGAATGAGATGATTAAACTTGAAGACGTGAATGGTGAAAATTATAGAATTAAAAGAAATGGCGTAAATAACAAAGTCCATGCTCAATAATCCAGGTATACAATCCAACATTTTTCAGTCAGGTCATCTAGACAGTTTCATTTTTGTGCTGAAACATTTCGCCTTCGATCCGGAAGGCTTCATGAGTCAAGGAAACACACAACACAAAACTGATTCTTCCCCCAACAGCTTACTCCAAAGTGGAACAAACCAGTTATGTTGGTGCTAAGATGGTCTACAGTTGGTGCTATAGGGGGCGTGCCAAAGAGACCGTCTTAGCATCTTAGTTTAAAGCAAGAAATGAGGTCAAAGCAGGTATAGAATCCATACCTCCTTGGATAGCATTGAACAAGAATGTGGAATGGGTTAACTTTATTTACTTCTCTCTTCAAAAATTTGTAAACCATACAACTGATGCTCTTGGGATAATAGGAGAACAATTAGATGCAACAAGAAGAGTCGCTTTACAGAACCGCCAAGCATTAGATTGGATAATGGCAGAGAAAGGAGGAGCATGTCATATGTTTGGTGATGAATGTTGTACGTATTTTGCTAGCAATACAGCTCCAGATGGAACTTTCTCAGAGGCTATGAGTAAAATTAAGAAGCTAAGAGGTGAACTTAAGGAGGGTGCTGGTAAGGATAAGTGGTCTTGGGATTGGTTAGACCTAAATTTAGGAAAATGGGCAGCAACAGTGATAAAAATAGGAATTAGCACAATCCTAGTATTAATTGGGATTTTCCTGTTGACATGTTGTGTCCTGCCTGTCTTGAGGCGAAAGTGGGAACAAACTCTGGCAACACAGATGGACTTGATTGCTGCAAATCAACTGGTTCAAATCGAGATGGCCACAGCAAACCTGTCTCCCCGCCTCTTCAGAATCAGAATCAGATTCTTGCCGAACTGACTGTTGAAAGCAAAGGAAACTTTGAGGTGACGGGGACGGCTGTGGAAAAGAAGGAAAGCATGATAATGGCTGTGTATTCAAAATAAAAATGAAGTCCTCCTTAAGCAAAGTGATGGACAACAAATGAACACATTTTTTCAGTTTTTCTTATTTTTGTTTTTTGCAATCCATAAAGGAACTGAACTGAACTGAGCTGAAGAGCTAAGGCGCCCTATCATTTTTCTTTTATTTCCTCCTTTTCATGTTTCCATCCTTTATTTCCCATATACTTCTTGATATGACTTGATTCTCTTCCAAAACAGGACTCTGAAGCAAACCATTGATGTCTTTCAACAGCTAAGACTTCATAGTCACCTTTGTGTTTTAACATATGTTACATTTATATTTGTTTTATATTTTACCATGTTATGTTTGCATTTATCAATTATGTTATTCAGATTTTGGGTATTTTGGTTGTAACTCTATTCATAATGTACCAAATTAATATTCATTCATAATGGGTCTCATATAACATCCGTATAGGAATTTGTTAGTTTTCTTTTTACTCATTAATCTTCAGGTAACCAGTATTACAATTTTCATTTATTTTGACATTTTCATTTCACTGTTTGATTTAATGTAATATTCATTGTAATGTATAATCACAGAGTTTAACAGACGTTTAGTTGGCCGATGCCCTTGCTTCCTGCCTCTTTAAATAAAATGGCAGAAGCTAGTTTGAGGGGTCTAGTTCTGAGGATACATTTTTCCTGTAAATGGCAGCAGCAGGTTTTTTCAGCTCCTCGGGAAGCAATGGCAACCATCCAATGAAATGGCTGAGTAATCACATTTTGTTTTAAGATTATGAGTTTTAATCTATATAACGTTACTATTTTACATTATAACTTTTACTATAGTGTTATGCATGATATAAAATCATATATAAGGTTCATTTAATCTCACACATGTGTTTATGCATCACTAAGCATATATATTTTTTTGATAGCATTAGTTTAATTTGATGAATTTCCTCAAACAAGGAGGATTGAAGTAGTAGATTTGTTTGTCCAAAAAAGGTCATGCATGTAGCTGTTCCAGTAAGACCTCGCTTCTCATCAGAACTGTTTCAACAACTAGAGTGTTTAGAGCTGGTTTATGTCAAGCTGGCCTAAGAAGAATTTGTTTTTCTCAAGTGTTTTCCTAAAATGGGAAAGGACTGATAAAGTGTTACACAACCCTCTGACGTCAATGAAAGGTATAAATAAGGATAGAACTATGATGAGAGAGGTTTTTTTTTTTTTGAGGTATCGAGGTGTCCAACTATTTCGGCCTACGAGTTTATGCGTCAAATAAACCCTGATTTTTGCTGTCATCACACATTTCAAGATCTGTTTTATTTAATCAGTTTAAAGTTAATGTAGACTCATGCCACTACATCGTTTTTTTTTATTTCATTTTTATGGGAAATATTTTTGTTCCTAAAACTATATGATCACATTGTTAAAAGTTGTTGGCAGCTGGGCCCTTTTGCTGTGTGATAGTTGGAGAGGGCAGGAGCTGCATACCAAACCACCACCAACCACACTTTTGTTTTTTTTTGTAACAGTGATGTGCTGAAAGAAATAAAGATCTTAAGGCTGAGTTTCTGAGTGACGCCCATCGTTTTGCTGGAGTCGAACCAAAGTTGAAGGGGGGTTACACTGGACAGTGGGAAGGTGCTCTGACAGATCATATGAATTAAAGTCCCCAAAGATTAAAATGGCCTGATCGGCAGAGCGAGTGAGCGCCTGGGTATAACTCTCTGCTATTCTTACACTGGCAGCCTTGTTGTTTGGACCGGGCACATAGGTGAGTATCACAGTAATTTGCCCAAACTCCCATGGTAGGTAAAACGGTCTGAATGAACTGTCAGTAGTTCATAGTCCGGGGTGCACACTTGCTCCTGTATGGTGTACTGTGTTGCCCAATCTTTGTCAACAAACATGCACAGTCCTCCTCCTGTAGATTTGAGTGAGGTATGTGTGTCTCTCTCTTGTAATATATTCATGTAGACTTGGTGTTGCATGGTGCTCTTTTAGCCACATTTCTGTAAATCTAATAAGGTTGCTCTGCCTGAACTCACAGTCATGGACAGCTCTGAGCTTTAATTCATCCACTTTGTTGTTTACCGAACGCACATTGGTGAGGGTGATGACAGGCAGCAGGAATCTGCTCTGGCGTTTCCAGAGTCGGTGCCTCACTCTCTTTAACCCCGCTTCTTCCTGTCTTTTTTTGCCTCCATGACCATGTCCCAGATCATTGGATTTCACAGCAATCCTTGGGTAAAAATCTTACTTCCACAAAGCTAAACAGAATAGAGAGTTCTGATTACCTGCTTAGCATCTCAAAGTTTTTTGTTAACTCCATCTGGTCAGTTCGCTTAGGGTGTAAAGGAATGGTCCAATTATGAAACACCTGTTAATAAACAGCAGAATATAAACTCATTGGTCTTTCATTAATTGTAATGATAAACATTATGAATAATGTATATCATATAAAGTCTGACCTGTTGAGCTCTTCTCCTTCGTTGACCTGGTTTCTCAGACTGTTCCACCTGTATCAGGATGTATTCCTGTGTGTCCAGGTCTAAGAACCCTCCTGCAAAAGGCCCTGCAACCTGTAGCTTCAGCAAAGCATTATCCCGAAAGTCCGTCACATTCATTGCTGTGAGATGTACAGCATCAAGAAAAAATGTGTTTATGCATTTAAAATATGACTGGTACAAAATCCCGTTTTTTGTAAAACTAAATGTTTACAGTAACAGAGTGTATATTCAGAGAAAAATGCCTTTTCTCCCACTGGTCACACTACTGTGAGTTTATTAAAGTTCTGCTAGGCTTTTTGCAGGAAAAGATACAGAAGCTGTCTGTTGGGGAGACTGCCAACATCCTCCAGGGATTATCTCGATCTGGATACATACTGAAGAACAGCTGAGAACAGAAAAAGGATCAATCAGCACATCGAATTAGATTTTTCAAATTAGTTGTTGAAAAAAGTCACAACACATTTTAATATACATGTGTTTATACTAATTAATGTGTTGTAGAATGAATAGGATACTGTGACATGTTCACGATTAATTAAAGTATCTGAACCTGTTTTGTTTACAATTAAGGATTTAATGTTTTGAATTATAATTAGTGTAAGAGTTCTTGTTCTCCCAGATTAGTGCCTATTATATATTTTAAATCTTTTTATTTTGCTAGTTCGGTGGGAGTCACCTGACACAAGAAGGTGTTTTAGGGTTTTTGCGGTGTGGTGCCATTTGGCTGTAAGGCTAAGTTTTCTGATGACTCCCGTTGGAGTCTGCACAGCCCCTTCGTTTGGGGAAGGGCTAAGTGCGATTATGGG